AACAAAGCATGCTTGTGCTGACCTAATTTACTATGTCACTATTCAAATGTCATTAACCTAATATATCTATGCAGCCATATAAAGTCAATGACATCACTGCACTCCACCCCTTTGCTTACATCAAGCTGCGGGTGGAGATCTTGCACAAAGTTATAAAATTAAATTTGAACACTGTCTGTCTTGATAAAGGGTTAAAGGTCTAGAAGGATTGTATGTTAATGAGGAGAAGCCCAGTCTGTCCCTTATCTTTCTCCAGGAGCAGCCAGAGTGTCCTGTCACTTTATAATTGAGAGAGAAGCTTGCAGTCTGCCCAAAGTCTGCTCCACAGAGACATATAAAAGGTAAGAAATATGATATATTTATATATCATATATAATATACAGTGTATATTGTTACATAAGGAAAGGGGAAATCATCGATTGGCGATCTATTTCCCCTCGGTTCCTCTCATATGCGCAAAACTAGTTTGACTCCACACTCAGGTTTTCAGGATGACTTTGGGTCTGTGTAATCCAGATCAGATTTTGGTTATCAGCTGTGATTGATTATCCAGGTGAGATAAAAGGGAAGACTGGAGAAGGATGGTGCTATGGCCTGGGACTCAGAAGGCCTTCTGAGAGAGAGCTGCATTTTGGAGAATCAACTTGCTGGAAAAACTTTTTTTGTGTGAGGTGGGTGGGAGAATCTCACCACCTGTTAGAGAGGAAGACTGTTTAGTTGGTGCATGGATGGCAAGTATTTATTTTTCTGTTTAGTTTTTTTTTCATCTTGCAACCTTTTTATAAAACTGACTGCAAGTCAGATTTTAAAGAACTTGGCTGACTGGACTACCATTTTCCATGTCCTATATTTTCCTGCATTGTTTAATAATAAAAAATGTTTAAACTTTTATTTTATTTTCCGCAAGTGACAAGCGTTGCCCGATTATCCAACAAACGATAGGTCAACGGATCCGGGTTCCTGACACTCATTGACTGACGGACGGCACAATGACCTTTGGTAATATATATGCACAGACAACACACTGTGCGTACACCGTGAGAGCCGGTCCCCTAGACATGAGCAGCCAGCAGGATGCAACTCGGATCCATGGATGACACGGATCGGAAAAAAGCAGGTAGATCTCGGGCAATGCAAGATCACCACTACGGACAAGGTATTTTAGCAGTATGCAACTATATAATGTGTTCAGCATATAGCAAATTGCACCTGGGCAGCATGGTGTGAATCACGTCGTTAGGACGTCAGAGGAGGAGGCATTAACTGCATTGTGATTGGTGGTTTGATTTTGTTTCACCTGTATTCATTGTTTGATTTTGTTGCTTGACCCACTCTCTGTTTGCCTGAGGACGGGACCGCATGGTCTCGAAACGTCGCTAAGGAGATGTGTGTTATCTCAGTCAATAAACAGCATTGACTTTAATATCATGGAGTGCTAGTGACTACTTTCATCTATCCGACTCTACAGGCCTGAAAACCTGAGACAGTATTGTACAACAGCAAATGGAGCAACTAAACTTAGGGTGTTCATATGCATGAAAAAATGAAGCCAATCAAAAAGTTAACCTTAATAATCAGTGTGCATGCAGAAGGTTTGGTACAGAGGAATGAATCAGACACTGTGCATGTGCTGTTTATAGATGTAGCTGATTAGACCTGAATCAAAATCCAAGATCAGCTTAGGATCTTGGTTACACTGGGGATATGTATGAGGAAGCAGATAGAAAGCCTAACCCTTTCCAGTACTACTGTCTTTATTAGCTGCAGCTTGGCACTGCATGCTATTGCTCAGTCTATGGTCTATAAGAACCCCAAGATCCATCTCCTTTTTCCCCTGCAAAACCCCTCCCAAGGTTTGGATTAATGCTTACAAAGCATTAGAAGGAATGTTTTCATATGAAGGAACGGGAAATGACGCTGAAAAACCCTTACCATGGAATAATATGAATAACTATAGCAATTACAATACCCAAATTGAGCAAACAAACTTTACTGTTAAGGTGCCCATAGTCATGAGGTGATGAGCTTATCCTCTATCTTCCAAGACGTGAAGAGAAAAGCACAGAATTTCACTGATTATTGGAAATTATAGAAGGAAAAACAAGTTTTTTTGACTTTTTGTTTTATTTGTATTATAATCATTGTTGAAATTTTTTCACCTTATTGCACAATCATTTGTTTAACTGTGATATATAAGATGCACATGATTAGATCTTTTGCACAATGATTTGTTAGAAATTTGACGCACATGATTGTTTTATGTTTATCACTTATAAAGCATTAAAAATTAGGTATAGCACAGTGCATAGGGATTTGGTGTTGCAGATTTTGTCTGTTGGCATTGCAGCATACCATTCATATTGTAAGACGTATACCTGAGTGCGGTTAAATAGGTAATTTATTGTTTCATGATTAATTAAAGCTGAAGTCTAGTCTGTGGTTTTTTTTTTTCTTCCCTGCATCAACATAACTACCTTATTTTAGACCAAGTGACACAATGTCATAACTGGGTGTCTATGCTTCTTTATGCAACGCAGGCAGATTATGGCTGGATGGATTGGCTGACAGGGTGCTGTTCCTGAAAACATCACTCACTCTTAAGTGCCTTCAGTCCTGATGCAGGCAGTGGGAGGAGTTATATAAATATATAGAATATAAAAATGCTTTTACAAAGTAGTGGTGATATCATGCTTTGCGGCACAAAGCATGTGCTCAAACTACAGCTGTGGGAGGGGACCACCAGGCCCACCCTCTACAGGCTGCCTGCTGGCAACTAAAGGCGGGTGGATAAGAGGCCAGACACCGTGCACAAGGAGAGTGTGAGATTGGTCTTTATCAAAGGAAGTTCTTGCATAGAGGCAAAATACGGAAGTTGTTTCATGATGGATTAATGCACAGAGTACAAAGGACTTTAGTACCATGTATTTTGCATCCAAATAGAGAAAACTACTACAGCGGGGGTATTAAATCAAAATTCAAAGAAGAGCAGCGAGTAAAATTTTCTTAGTGCAGAGGTCTGAATCGTGGTCCAGATAGGTCCTTAGACAACTAGAACCCAGGTGAGAAGAGGCTGCAGGAGGCTGTCGGGATTGGGTGAGCATATCTTCTTTATTTGGTCCTCTAGACAAAATTAAGCAGTTAACCCTTGTAGTGCGTTGGTATCACTGCAAGGGTTAACTTTTAAAAAATGGAGTTCCTCTCCAATGCGACACAGTCAATTTAGGTTACCGTATATACTCGAGTATAAGCCGTCCCGAATATAAGCCGAGGTACCTAATTTTAGCCAAAAAAACTGGGAAAAAGTATTGACCCGAATATAAGCCGAGGGTGGGAAATGAGGCAGCTAATGGTAGATAGATACCATTAAAATACATTAATATTTATTTAAAAGAAAAATAACCTAGCTCTGTAAGTGGAAAAGGGGGTACAGGGCTACATATCATGTACTACGGATCATTTAACCCATTCATATTAGCAGAGGATAATTGTAAATCTATTGTTCAGTGCACTCTATATGTAGTATATAGTACATGTACATATAGAGTGCCTGCAACAATACATTTACAATGATCCTCTGCTAACATGAATGGGTTAAATGATCCATAGTACAGGGCTACATACAGATCATTTAATACATTCATGTTAGTATAATTGTAAATGTATTGTCTGCACTGTATTAGCAGTATATACTCTATATAGAGTATATACTGCTAATACAGTGCAGACAATACATTTACAATTATACTAACATGAATGTATTAAATGATCTGTATGTAGCCCTGTACTATGGATCATTTAACCCATTCATGTTAGCAGAGGATCATTGTAAATGTATTGTTGCAGGCACTCTATATGTACATGTACTATATACTACATATAGAGTGCACTGAACAATAGATTTACAATTATCCTCTGCTAATATGAATGGGTTAAATGATCCGTAGTACATGATATGTAGCCCTGTACCCCCTTTTCCACTTACAGAGCTAGGTTATTTTTCTTTTAAATAAATATTAATGTATTTTAATGGTATCTATCTACCATTAGCTGCCTCATTTCCCACCCTCGGCTTATATTCGGGTCAATACTTTTTCCCAGTTTTTTTGGCTAAAATTAGGTACCTCGGCTTATATTCGGGACGGCTTATACTCGAGTATATACGGTAAGCAGGGTTATTTTTTATGAATTTGAAAAACGACCTGAAACCTGATGAAAGTGTGCTAAAAACCTGGTTAAAGTGACAGAAGGAACACCCATTATATTTAGGATTGCCAACCCCCGGCTAAAAAAGCCGCATGTTGTGTGTCGCAAAAAAAAGGTACATGTATATTTTTTAGTGATTGCCGCGGGGATGTCGCCCCATTGAAATCAATGGGGTTGTCCCGGGTGTCGTGCAGGTGTGAATCTAGCATTAAACTTAAGTCCCTTGTGGCGAATTTGCTACTGTGTTCATACTAGTACTTTTAGCATGACTATTGCACTCTAGAACTGCTCCTGATTCTATGTGAGCATACGGTTCAGCTAACACCTGTAATATAATTCAGTGAGTGCAAACATGGCTTTTTATCTTCGAGATTATCTCAGGGATTGCTCATCAAGGATGCTATTTCCACTGTCTGATAAACCAATAGCTAGTAGAAAAAAGATATCTATTTATCTGTGTTTTAAAAATAAATGGCAAAAAGTGGTGCAACAAGCAAGGGAAATGTCACATCAATAATGACTTTCAGATACACTCTGCAATAATCACTCAGACTATATGTTCATGGTAAACAGACTTTATTACCCCTTTTGTATAAGAACATTATAGTAATAGAAGAGGTTGGAGATTTCAGTACTAAATTGCAAAGCATGTTATCTCAAAAGCTGATTTCTTTCACGTGGAATCTGTTGATACATTCATGAAACACAATTCTTGATTATTTATGGAAATCGTGAGATATTTCGTAAATTCATATTCGTCAATTAAATCTGTTTTCTTGCTGATTTTTCATCATAGATGTTATTTTGTCTTCAACTTGAATTGCTGAATATGTCATCTACAAAGCAAAGCAAATACAAAAAAGGGACTGTTATGTTTAATATTTTTCCTGGGCAGGAACTGCAGGACATCAGATTTGATAATGTTTAGAAATGCAAAGTGAATACAAAAGCAGTTGTTGTAAATTCTAGAATTTTCAAGTTATTAGCCCTGAGGCCCCTTTCACATGACATTCCTTTCAAATCTGTCTTTCAGTTTTTTTAGGTGGATCTCAACGAAAGATCAATGTTAGTCCAGGGGCAGGTACATATAGAGGTGAAACTCGAAAAATTAGAATATCGTGCAAAAGTTCATTTATTTCACTAATGCAACTTAGCCATCTACCAGGAGATTTTGGAGCACTTTAGAGCTGCAACAGTTAATCGATTAAAATCGACGATTGAAAACGTTGGCAACGTTTTCGATCGTCAATTCGTCGGCTATCGATTGCTTAGCCTGTTCGGGGCTCCGCACACGGCCTGAGTCACATGTCACACGCTGCTCCTGACGTGCCCACCGCACAGGCCGCCGCCACATAAGCCACGCCCACCGAACAGGCTGAAGCCGCGCACGCCGCTGGTCTCCTCCTAGCCGTGAGCTCCCTCAGTCGTCGCATAAGCCACGCCCGCCGCTGGTCTCCTCCTAGCCGTCCCTCAGTCGCCGCATAAGCCATGCCCGCTGCTGGTCTCCTCCTCGCCGTGAGCTCCCTTACCCGCCGCTGGCCCGCAGACAATCGAGGGCCCACCTTCTAAAAGTAAGTCAGGAGTGGACTACACTAGAAATGTAACTGTCGTGATCTGAATATAATGGCATCAGCTTAATTTAATAGCGAGTACTTTTCAATTTAGTCAGAATCTCTCAAGGAAACCTCTTATTATTGAAAAGGGAGGGCCCTTTTCAATAATAAGAGGTTTCCTTGAGAGATTCTGACTAAATTGAAAAGTGCTCGCTATTAAAATAAGCTGATCCTTGCCTGCCCTCAATACAAACTAGTGCAACTTGAATGATGTTCCATTTTGCTCATGTGGTTAGCACTTTCCTCCCTGTTCACATAGGAAAGGACTAGCACCTGTTCACTAGAGCTGCAACAATTATTCGATTAAAATCGACGATGGAAAACGTTTTCCATCGTCGATTCGTCGGCTAAAATTCATATTAACCGCTCACGCCCGCCCACGTTGGTTAAGCCGTTTGCGCCACGCCCACCGCACACGCCGGTAAACCCGTTCACGCGACGCCGCTTAGCCACGCACACGCTGAGGACATGCGTCTGGCCCTCTACTCCCGGCGAGCTTCCCGACTAACCGCTGCCCGCCGGCAACCAACAACGCCGCAGCCCGCCGACAACACTGTCATTCAAAGTAAGTCGAGATCAGCCGGGAGCTTTTTAATGTTTCCTGTTGTGTTTTTTTTTTTTAAGCGGCACACTGCAGAACATTAGTAGCTATAGAGGAACAACAAACAGCCTGTATAATGTATTATTGCTGGGATTTGTTGTTCCTCTATAGCTGGTGGTATTCTCCATTGCGCTGTGCAATGTATTATTGCTGGGATTTGTAGTTCCTTTATAACTGGTCAGTGGTAATCTGCATTGCACAGTATAATCATTATACAGCGCAATGCAGAATACCAGCATTTACAGAGAACTACATATCCCAGCAATAGTACATTATTGTATAATGTTGTACTATTGCTGGCATTCGTTGTATTCCTATATGGCTGGTGGTATACTGCATTTCGCCGTATTATCATTATACAGCGCACTGTAGAGGACTACAAATCCCAGCGATAATAAATGATATACAGCGCAATGCAGAATAACGCCAGCTATAGAGGAATACATCAGATCCCAGCAATAATACATTATATACAGTGCAATGCAGAATAACGCCAGCTACAGAGGACTACAAATCCCAGCAATAGTACATTATGGTATAATGTACTATTGCTGCATTCCTCTATAGCTGCTGGTATTCTGCATTGCGCCGCTGTATAATGTACTATATTGCACACAACACTTTTTTTTTTTACTTCCACCGTGCCAAGCTTGCTCCCGTGATGGACTACAATCTCAATAGAAACTAGTAGTCCATCACTGGAGCCTTTTTTTTTTATCCGATTAACCCGATTGATCGAACTTAATAATCGGCTAACTAATCGATTATGAAAATAATCGTTAGCTGCAGCCCTAGAGCACTTCATGCTTTCTTCCGCAGACGAGCTCTATGGGGATGCTGACTTCATTTTCCAGCAGGACTTGGCACCTGCCCACACTGCCAAAAAAATTCTGAAATTGTGGATCTGGGTTTTCATGAGCTGTAAGCCATAATCATCACAATTATGACAAATCATGGCTTGAATTATCTTGCTTTGCATGTAATGAGTCTATCTCATATATTAGTTTCCCCTTTTAAGTTGCATTAGTGAAATAAATGAACTTTTGCACGATATTCTAATTTTTCGAGTTTCACCTGTAAATGGATGGGTGTCCAGTTGCATTCACAAGCCTATAGACTTAACATGGGTTTGTTCAGCTCCATGGAGTGCACATTGAATGTACACAGATGTCACACAAGTGCTATCAATCCATTCATTCAGCTCTAATTCAGTAGGTGACCTGTTCATGGTGTCCATGCTGAGTGGCACAGACTTCACCCATGTTCACAAGATGTTATAGCCAATGCTTTTTGGGGGTTGCTAATGTCCCCCTTCATCAGGGCTTTAAAAGCTGTAATCCATCTGCCCTTACTGGCCACAGAGTTTGTGTTATTATTGCACAGAGGTATAGCAGTTGGTGGAGCTTATCTATCAAGCCAGGGAAAATCAAGTCTCAGTAAGAATCATAAAAGAGACATTATTGACCCAAAAAGGTAATAGCTGGACTATTAAACTTTAAAATGAAGTGCATGATCACTATGAACAAGATCCAAGAGGAGAGAAACTTAAGAGGCTGACCACTTCTTCTGAAAATGCTAGTTACCTGGCTAGTGGCTACCATGCTGTCCCGGTACTCAATACTTTGATTAATTGACCCCTCAACAAATATGCAGACCCCTCAACAAATATGCTGATCAGGACTTCTGGTTTATCTCTGACATCTGACCGGCATATTTGTTTCAGGTTACTGACTAGAAAGTACAAAAGCCAGAGGATCACAGAACAGTCAAACAAATGGTATTTTTAAATGGAAGTCAGCACTAGCACCCTTTATATTTCTCTCTGGCCTAGTTTAAATAAAAAAAGTGAATTCTTACCAGTGTTACAGGGATGATTGTATTCTGCCACTGCTTGCTCATCTGAAAGGTAAAAGAATAACACTTTAAATTCCATAATATAGTGTATTTTTGTGTATTTGATTATTATTATTTGTGCAAAGTTGCTTAAAATGTTTTTTTTCTGTCTGTTTTTTTCTTTCTATTAAAAATTGAAATAATGAGGCTAATGAAGGCATTGGCCACCAAAAGCACCAAAACTACCTTAATTCCTCCTTCCCTATTGAATTTTGCTTGAAACTCCTGATTAACACAGTCTGCTGTGAATATATTATATAACTTTATACTAGGGATGCACAGAAATTTCCGACGCCGAAGCATTTCTGTTGAAAATGGTAGTAGGCAGAACCTACTACCACTACTATTCCCTGCTGTGTAACCTGTCTTGGACAGAGCACTGCTTGTTAATTACAGGCGGAGCTGCATCCAGCTTTTGACAGGTAGTTAGGTTACATAGCAGTGGGCTTCCCCACTGCTTGTGTAACCTAACTAGTGAGGCCAGAGCTGTCACAGGCTTTACTCTTTGTTAGAGGCGTGAGCTCTGTGGATGGTTTGGACCAATGACATTGATCTCCATGCCTCAGCAGTGACGAGCAAGTAAGAGACAGGGAGGCTCCTCCCTGTCTCCTCCCTTCCTCCTTCACACTAGCAAGGGCTTTGGCGGGACATGGGCGGGGCTGGGCGTGCTTGGGGGGAGGCTAGGTGTGCTGGGGGCGGGGCTGGAGAATGCCTCCCCAGGAAGCAAAGGTACCGCACGTCACTGGTACAAGACAAAGCAAGTGACTTAAAATGGAATCAGTAATATGCAGACTACTCATTCAAATGCCCACTTATCTGGGTTCCCAAAGTACTAGATAATAAGAATGATTAAAATACTATGCTGCCCTGGTACTCCAAAATGCTGTCTGGATTAAAAAGAAAAGATAATAGATCAAGCATATCCCTCTACACTTTAAAAATATTTGTTTTGTGTTCCTTATATATGAACACCTGGACTAAGTCTGGACCATCTATAGGCATGAACATTGCACCAACTATTAGAAGAGAAGGCTACCTGTTTCATAGTAATCATAAACTTTTGCTGTGGCTGGTTTCAGGTTCTTGACTTCAATAATCTACTCCACCATAAAAGAGAGATTTATAGTATCATGTCCCACCTATGAGAAAGATAACATTACAGTGAAAGAAAGAAATGCAGCTAGGTTCTTCATAATCAAAAAAGAGCAGCTGAAATGACAGGTTCAAAGAAATGTGAAGTAAATTATGCCAATAAGTTGGATTCCAACGGTGGTAGAGGAGGACTAAATGAAACCGTTTTACAAATATACTCAAAGAAGACATTTTAAATAAAAAGATACTGAGTGTAATTAACCACTTGCTGCCCGGAGCCGTGAATCTCTCCTTCGATCTAACAGGGGAGACCCTCCACGCTGGTCCAGGGCTCACACGGGGGACAGCGGAGCTCGGGAAGCTGACGGTGGCACCGGCAGTAGCAGAGGGGGGGGCGGCACCATACAAGCGATCCGACACCTGTACAGATGCCGGATCGCTTGTTTTTTAACAGCAATCGCCGGCTGTTTAAAACTGCACCATGAACAGCAGCAGCCCAATTGTTTTTTTATTTTTCTTTATTTTTCTTTTCTTTAAAATATGTATATATTTTTTTAATTTTCCTATTTTTTATCATTTTTAAAATTATTTTGCAACTTTTTATTTTTCACATTCTTTTCACTTATCTTCTATTCTGCTCGGTACTATGGAGGTACCGAGCAGAATAGCCAAGTCAAATGCTGCAGGTATTCACTCACTGCTGTTTGGCCCCTATGAGAATAGGTGCGAATGGCAGCAAGTGAGCTGCCGGAGCTTCGGTTCAGCCAATCTAGATCTTGGAACGGCTGAGCCGAAGTCCTTCTGCACTTCGGCTCAGCCAAACATGCAGAGCATGTTCAGCTGACTGAAGGCAGCCGATGTATGGCTGATTTTAGCCGTTGTATGGCTGAAATCTGCCATACAAGGCAGGAGTAATTAGCCGAACAGCATTCGGCTCACTTCACTTCGGCTGGGTTATTCACTCAGCTGCTTTGTGAATAACCCTGTTAGTGTTTATTTGAGGAGGAGATGTACATTGATTTTAGTTATGGTTTATTATTGTGACGGACTGAACCGTCACTGGGGCTGCTGGAGGAGCCTGAGGGCTAACCTCCTTCCTAGAGACTATGGACCAATCCCTATTTGCCCTGTTTCGAGTCCTCATTTGCATGGCCGAGAGGACCTAGGTGAGGACTGGAGGATTGTTTGCAGTTGACCAATAGGAAGGTGGTCGTTTGGGCCACCTTCAAACTGTTGTTTTATATAAGTGTGTGCATCCAATAAACGTGATTCCTGTTTGAACTTACATAAGGCCTGTCTGGTGTTTGTTCTGAGCTATTACCACTGGATACGAACGGCACATAGCTGTAGTTCGAATCCCGAATTATCGGACGACCTAAATATCAGATGCTGCGGTCTGAAATCTGGGGAGTGCTGGGAGAGTGGAACCGAGCGAGCAAAGGGCTCGTTACATTGGTGGCAGCGGTGGAATCTGCTCTCCAGTTACTGGGAAACTCCAAACCACCACAGGGAATGACCAGCTATGCAGCCTGCAGGAGAGAAACGCTGAAAGACCTACTTGAGAGCCGAGGAGGGACCACTGGGACAAAGAACAAGGCCACCCTGATCAGTGAGCTAGCCCAGATGGATCAGAGGGATGGTAATGCTGGACCCCGGTCAGTTGGAGACTTGTTTCAGCAACGGGTTCGACAGCGGTTGTCATTATATGGTGCCAACCCATCAGAGACCGCCATACAGAATGCCATTAGAGACATCCAGCAGCAGGATGAGCGACAGGAGAGAGAACTAGAGCGGCAATATAAGTGGAGAATGGCGCAACTACGGCAATCAGAGACAACACCTAGGGATACAGTGCCTTTCCGTAAGTCAGTTGGAGACTTGTTTCAGCAACGGGTTCGACAGCGGTTGACATTATATGGTGCCAACCCATCAGAGACCACCATACAGAATGCCATTAGAGACATCCAGCAGCAGGATGAGCGGCAAGCGAGAGAACTAGAGCGGCAATATGAGTGGAGAATGGCGCAACTACGGCAATCAGAGACAACACCTAGGGATACAGAGCCTTTCCATAAGTCAGTTGGACAGATGGATCAGAGGGATGGTAATGCTGGACCCCGGTCAGTTGGAGACTTGTTTCAGCAACGGGTTCGACAGCGGTTGTCATTATATGGTGCCAACCCATCAGAGACCACCATACAGAATGCCATTAGAGACATCCAGCAGCAGGATGAGCGGCAAGCGAGAGAACTAGAGCGGCAATATGAGTGGAGAATGGCGCAACTACGGCAATCAGCGACAACACCTAGAGATACAGCGCCTTTCCGTAAGTTGCCCTTTCGGGCGTTCAAACTATTTAAGATGGAGATCCAGGTAGAGGAGGCAGACAGCCTCTCTCCCCTGCGGCAGAGGCAGTTCCAGGGAGAGGAGGCAGAGGGCCTCTCTCCCCAGTGGCAGAGGGAGTTCCAGGGAGAGGAGGCAGAGGGCCTCTCTCCCCAGCGCCAGAGGGAGTTCCAGGGAGAGGAGGTAGTCGGCCTCTCTCCCCAGCGGCAGAGGGAGTTCCAGGGAGAGGAGGCAGGCGGCCTCTCTCCCCAGCGGCAGAGGGCGTTCCAGGGAGAGGAGGCAGCCAAACTTTCTCCCCAGCAGCAGGTGGAGCATCTGCAAAAAGGTGCAGCGGATGCTTGTTCCTAGTTGCAGTCTTTGTCCCAGGGAGGGGAGGCAGCCATTCTCACTCCCCAGCGGCAGGCCATGGTGCAGGGAGATGTACGGGCCCTCAACACCCCCCAGCGGCAGTTTGTTTTCAGGAAATCAGATGCCGGATATTTAAATTTGTCTTGTCCGACTAACACAGGTCCAGACCAGTTGGGGGTCTGGTACCTGGTTAGTCTACTGTCAGGAGGGGAGAAATGTGACGGACTGAACCGTCACTGGGGCTGCTGGAGGAGCCCGAGGGCTAGCCTCCTTCCTAGAGACTATGGACCAATCCCTATTTGCCCTGTTTCGAGTCCTCATTTGCATGGCCGAGAGGACCTAGGTGAGGACTGGAGGATAGTTTGCAGTTTACCAATAGGAAGGTGGTCGTTTGGGCCACCTTCAAACTGTTGTTTTATATAAGTGTGTGTGTGCATCCAATAAACGTGATTCCTGTTTGAACTTACATAAGGCCTGTCTGGTGTTTTGTTCTAAGCTATTACCACTGGATACGAACGGCACATAGCTGTAGTTTGAATCCCGAATTATTGGACGACCTAAATATCAGATGCTGCGGTCTGAAATCTGAGGAGTGCTGGGAGAGTGGAACCGAGCGAGCAAGGGGCTCGTTACAATTATATTATACTCATGCTTTTTCTACAGTCAAGAAGAGTGTGGTAGACCAACATCTCCCAATTAAGCCAATCATGGTCAGATTGGCAAACAATCATACTGTATGCCTATGGGCATCAACTGCTCTGCATAGTGACTGCTAACTCCATAAACAATATATTCTCAGGCAAAATGAGCACCCATTCTATTTAAAAATCCTTTGCAAAAGTGATTGTGTGGAAGTTGGAGCTTCTGAAAACTGTGTGATGTTTATAGGCAGCCGAAGGTTAATCAGCAAGGAGAACAACAAATCAACTTCCTAAGCTTGAAACCTTTTCAATGCTCTAAAGAAAGTTATTCGAACCTGATTCAGATATAAAGTGACTGTGTCCATCTGTATTTCACTTCTCTGTATCAGTTGGTCCTTCTGCAGCTGTGGAAAAAAAAATAGGTCACTATAAGAAGGTTGAAGTCTTCAATTATATTAGCGTTATGAGTAGTAACTGGGAAATGAGTCCAACATATACACTGTAGTGCAATTATTGGCAATTTCCAAATCTATGAAGACTATTGGCATAATACACTAAACCATGACACATCTTTAGATGTCCACAGATCCACTGGTCCACAGATTAGTTAGGATGTAGGTCCTTACCTTCTTCACTGTACTCTTGACCGGAATGTGTCCAGACAGCATCTTCACCTCTATAATAGCCATGTTGGATTTATCCCGGGTTCCAGTGTATCTATAGGAATATAACAACAGGGCTTGCTAAAAAATTATTTGACTTGCTAACTTAAGCAAAAACTTAGATGGATTTTTAAAAAGCATCATTCAATCCAATTGTGTATTAATTTAAAACATAATTTAGTGTTAGCCGTTGTACAGAATCTGTGTTGACATCCACAGCACCCACAACAGTTGTTCAGCATTAGCAGGCAATCAGCCTAAAGCTGCCCATACACCTAACGATTATCGTACGATAATCGCGGGTGAGTGTATGGGCAGCGTGCGACCGCAATGACTATACGGCCGCACGATTTTCGTATTACAAGCACGCTAGAAAACCTGCTGAAAATCGTACGATTTTCGGCGGGTTGGTAGCGCGATCGCAAGACGAAAGCCACAGGGCCCGAGGTGCGCAAGCGCACACTGCCAGCTTACCATTACTATCATCTGTAAGCCCTCCCCTCAGCGGGGAGGACTTGCGATGATCGCAAGTACGATCTGCCTGTCCAAGATATGCAGGTCGTATGAACTTTTAATCACCTTACAACCATCGCACAATGAAAGTCATGCGATGGTTGTAAGGTGTATGGCCACCTTAACACTGGACATGCTTATGGGAGGAAAGAGCAAATTAATAACCTTAATAGTGCCCTGACAGTAATTATATTGTCCAATAACAAGCTGGAGGGCTAAGGAAGCAGAACTCTACAGTAGACATGTGCGATTCGTTTCGTTACGAATCGAAATTCGTACGAATTTTCCTGAAATTCCGAATTTCGGAGCATCCGAAATCCGAATGGCAGTTTCCGAATTATATCCGAAATACGAAATTCCGTTAACGAATTTCGGAACTAATCGAAACAGGAACTAATATTACCCCTGTAAAATGTAAATGAGGTTGAACAACATGACAAGATTTTTTTTTTAATCCGAGATACGGATCCGCTGCTGCTGAGAGTTGCATTACAATACACAGGCAGGAAATACGAAATTCCGTTGACGTATTTTCGTTCCGTTACGAACATTCGTTATATTGAAGGTAAAAAGCAAAGTACATTTATATTGGAGTTGATGGTAGTTTTTTTTAAAGTCCGAAATACGGAATTCGGAATACGGAATCCGTTAACGGAATTCGTATTTCGGATAAAAAAAACAACTACCACTCCAATATTAACAAAGGTATTTTGCTTCTTAACTTCATCATAACGAATTTTCGTAAAGGTACGAAAATATAACCGCCACTAACGAAAATTCGTATTTCGTACGAATCCGAATTGAGTTCAGTTACGAATTACGAAATAACGGATATTCCGAAACGAAACAGAACACTTTAAAAGTGGCACTAAACTCAGGAGTTAAATCTTAGAAATGCATTCAAGCACCTCAATTATTAACAAAAATGTATCTTAATTTTAACCAAAACCGTATTTAGCAGTGCTAAGAAGCGCTTCTCATTGGTCAGCACAGTTAGGTGACTGCGCTGACCAACGAGTGCTTGCAATTTCAGAATACATGGCACAGGTGCAGATAGGACACCCATACTGGCGGACAGGAAAGTCCGTTTGCTGAAAGGTAAGTATAGCAGGGAGGGAGAGGGGGCCAGATTTGTGCGGGTAATTCCATTTTCTCAAATTACTTGGGAAAGTGTATTTAGCCTTTAGGGCTGGTGGAGACTTGGACGATCGTGGGACGTGCATCCCGAGACCGTGCGATCGTTTGCAGTTGCATAGAGTGGTTGCTGCGCGGCCCCATGGGGTTACATCTGCATGGCAATCACTGAAAAAGGTACATGTACCTTTTTTAATCAATACACGTACTGCGCAGTGTTTTCAACCGAGATTGTGAGCGGTATTGTGGTGGGAAACCACACCATCTGCTTAGCGCTACTGGGGTGCCATTAGAAAATAATGGCACCGCCAGCGCGTTCGGCGGTGGTGTGCAATTTCGCGACCGCCTGACTACCCCCACGGCAGGATTGCCGTGTGGTCATGGATCACCCAGGTATGAACCTGGCCTTAAAGTGACATTAAACTCTCAGATTTTTTAACATAAAACAATACTGTAATGTGTGCCTTACTGTAATCCATGGTTGTTTCACTTCTCTTTGATGCTCTTCCTTTTAAATCTGTATCTGTTCTCATGCTTGGGGAGAGCTTCCCTTTTCAGCAGACTGCCTTGTCTCACACGGTGTCTGTGTATCCGTTTGTATAGGCTGTAACCTGAGCCAGCACTACAGGAAGAGGCCCTGAGCTGAAAAGGGAAGTTCTCTCCAAGCATGAAAACAGATACAGTTTTAAAAGGAAGAGCATCAAAGAGAAGTGAAACAACCATGGATTACAGTAAGGCACACATTACAGTATTGTTTTATGTTAAAAAATCTGAGGGTTTAATGTCACTTTAATGCACATTATGCGTGTTAGAGAGCATTGCTGCCCGGCCACCACAATATGGCACACAGTGGAATGGGGTCACCACTCCGCTCACACACACAATGTCCTACGCATGCGTTCATTTGCATGCAGATGGTGAGGGCAGCGGGGTTGGTTTTAATTTTTATTAACTTTTTTTTTACTTTGTAAAATTTTTATTTATCTTATTATCATTTACTTTATTTTTAATTTTCATTTATTTTATTATTTTTTACTTTATCACCTTTTTTATTTTTTACATTTTTTAAATTTGTTTTACATTTTTTTAAAAAACTTTTTTCACTTAACTTTATTGCTATCACAAGGGGCTAACTAGCCCCTGAGTGATAGCATTTGGAGGTGATAGGATCTCTTTTTTGAACCTGTCACATCCAATACAGGAGTTCTAGCACAGTACAGTGCTGGCTCTCCTGTGACAGGAAGGCTGCGAGTGCAGCATTCCTGTGTCAGTGCTCACACAGAGCAGAGCAGAGCAGAGAATGGATGATCTCAGCTCTGCTCCCCATCCTGATGTAATCAGGCTGCTTACATGTGATTTTGAGCAGCTGTATAGGCTGATCCCTGTACATTTAGCCCCGCTGCTTGCCCGAAGCAGGGCTAAATGTAGAAAAAAACTACCCGCCCGACGCCTGGAACTGCATGTCTCGGGCGAGAGGAATTCCACACCCCTGCATTCTGCATATATGAGAATATAAATGATATCATGAGATTAGAGTTTTTGAGTTGTATTTTAAAAATTCTCAAAAGAACATGCTCCTTATCTATAATAAAATTATGGTTTGCTCACAAATGATTGTGTATTGAGCATAGAAATAGGAGCATAAAAGGTTGGTTCACCCGTAACTGCAATTTCAGGTATAAGTGGACACTATTCGGAGGATGATATAGCACACAGGGAAAAAGTAATTTTCTAATGTGCTAATCAGTATAGGCCAAGCTTATAACCTGAAGCTCTTACTGTGTCCCACCATGAATTATAAAAGAGAGCAATAATAACTCACGTAGCACTGATAAGAATCTCAAAATTTGTCACTGGATCCCCCAGACACTCTCTGGTTAAATGTGGTGTCACCTTTAATGAAAAGCTGATGTCTCTTCTGGGTGGAGGGACATTGTATCTCAGGACTGTCTGTGTAATGAAGACAAGAAATTAGTTAGAGGAAATAAATAAATACCGGTAACAGAAAAGAAGGCAGAGAGTTGGTGCCTTCTCACCTGTACAAAAACACAGCCGTTCCCTGTGGCTGAAATCATGTATTCTCCGGGAACAGTTGGTAGTGTTGCTCTCTGGAGGAGGAGACGGTTGTTTTTGTCTACATGGAACTTCTCCAGAAATCCTGTGCTGGAAGTGACAGTCGTAGTCACATCACCCTTATCACTGAATGTGAGCTCTGAGTACTTGGCCAGAGCTTCAAGAGCCATAACTGTGTCCTACATAGAAGAATAGGAATGTTAGTGAAGGTCCAAATGTGTCAACCAGGGAAAAAGATAAATACATAATCTGATGAGACTAAATGCAATCCACAATGTGTGATATGCAAACGAATACTTTTCATTGGTGTAATTAAATCAAAGTATTGGAGTAAATTTGAGTCTGGGTTGTGGTGGATACTAAACAAAGGCAATCATACAAAGCACAGGATGTAAAAAGTTAAAAAAAAATGGTATGGAAAAGGCTGCCCCCTGCCTGTCCTGACTTCAGCCTTGAAATACTCTATTTATCCTAAAACTTTTGGGAGTGGGGGGTCAAAGTAAGAAGGTAGATCTTCTCGTGCCTTTTAAAGAATGTGGAAATAGGATCTTGGGAAGGAAGACATTATCCCAGACAGGGTCTTGAAGAAATTCAGCACATGGACAGGTGATATAACTTGCCAGGAACTACCCAAAACAGTTGACAATGAAATGCGCTGTAAGTTATCAGATGAGCAGGCCCGGATTCCCCACAAGGCCACCGAGGCCCGGCCTCGGGGCGGCAGCCGTGTGGAATCCCCCGATGCCCGGAATATACGGTTCCGGGTGCCGGGCGGTAACTTGCCTTCTACATTAAGTCCTGCTTTGGGAAGGCAGGACTAAATGCAGTGTGGGGAAGCCGCTTGTTCGTTTACAAGTGATTGCGGCGATGTCTCCACGATCACTTGTAAAATGTGTGCAGCCTGTCCGTCCTCCCCTCCCTGCACCTACCTCTCTCCTCTGGTTCCGTCCTCTCCCTGGCCGCTGAGTCTCTCCTCACTGGTCGCCGATGTGGGGAGCAGAGCGGCAGGGTTAAAAGTAACCCTGCCACTCCGTGTACACAGTGAGAGGGGAGAGCTGTGCTCTTCCTCTCTCAGCTGTCACAGGAGTTTCAGCACAGTGCTGTGCTAGAACTCCTGTATTGGAGGTGACAGGTTCAATAAAGAGAACCTGTCACCTCAAAAGGCTATCACACAGGGGCTTGTTAGCTGGCTCCTGTGTGATAGCAATAAAGTTGAGTGAAATTTTTTTAATAAAAATTAAAAAAATAATAAGAAATAATAATTAAATGAAAAATAAATAAAAAGGAGATTAAAAAGTAAAAAATAATAAGAAAAATAATATTAAAAAATAAGAAAATAGTCATAAAAAATAAATAAACAATCATAAGATAAAAAAATTAGAAAAAATAAAAAACGTTAAAATAAAAATTTAAAAAAGTTAAAACACAATAAAAAAGTGATAAAAAAGTTTTTAAAAAATAAGGAAACAATAAAAAAAAGTAAAACTAACACTGCCACCCCTGCCATCTGATTGCCATTCTCTGTTGATGATGGGGGGGGATTGGCGGGGAGGGGGGCGCATTGCGAAACCTGGCCTTGGGACGGCAGGGAGAGTATATCCGGCCCTGTAGATGAGCCTTGATGAATCTAGCTTGCTGCAAAAAGACATCACTGTATTTAGTCAATGGTTCACCTGTGTAGATGAGAAGCCTCCATAAGGGTTCTGCTGTTTTCTAAACCAGTTTGCAATCCCTGCAGTTTCGACCAGGTCAGGTTCAGGCCCATGGAGTAGAGCCAGGAGGACATAGGCAGACATCTCCACCTCAGCAGATGGAGCTCTGTGCCAGTATGAATCTTTCTTGGGAGGATCAGAATCCCGTTTCCAGTGGAGCTGTCCATCTGTAGATACAAAGACACAACATTAATTATGTATCATGTATTATTATTGCAACACTAGGGTCGAACTGAGAAATATGTTTTATTAATACCATTAGTTTTTGGCAATAAAAACAGACTGCTTAAAGTTTGAGTTTATATGTTTTATTTCACTTTTCAGCTGGTGTACAAGGAAGAATGAGAATTAAATGCAGACATCTTGTAAATGATTGTATGTTCAAAACAAGTCTACATTTTTAAAAATTAATTTGTCTAATGCAGGTGTTTACATTTGCCTAATGTTCTCTAAATGATCTATTTCTCACCTCCTCGTACAGCCTTTTTCTCCAGTTTGTCCAGTATAGTCTTTCTGAACTTTGTCTCTCCACACAGTGTAAAGGTGTAGGCGAGCAGAGCCAGGGTGTATACATTGGTCACATCACTAGCTGCCTTTTTCAGACAGGACACTGCGTCCCTGACCAGAGGATCCTAGAGGGAGAAAAAAAGGATACAAGAAAAAGCTAATTGATGAATATAATAGTATCTGTAATATAATTAATACATTTTTTTTACCTCTCTGAGCTTAGCTTTTCAGAGGGATGATCAATTTGGCAGTCTCATGGAATAAATAAATTATCTCAGTTTTATGAGAATTCTACTGTTAAACCCTTTTTAATGTTACCAACTGAAGTTAAAATTCCTACAAAACTCAGACTTGTGCTACAAACATTATTCCCTCATGTTCTCTTCCTTACCAAGATGTGAGGGAAATTTGTTCTTCTTCCAGCACTAAGGGGTAATAACACGAGCTTAGCTACATTTATTGGGAGAACACCTTTCTTATGATGGTCAATCATGGAAAAAGCTATTGACAATTGCCAAAGAAGTGATGACTGATGATCATTGGTCCACTATACTTGATTATTGTAGTTAGTTCTTTGATTCTCATGAAATGTTATGTATACAAATTCAGAGCTCAATTTAAATGATATCAGTCCATCTGGAATATGTGGTTGAATACATTTTACCCCCAATTCTTGGTTGCCAAAATCCATGTGACCTTATCCACTATATATACGATCATATTTATTGGTAGTTAATACCACATTTACTTGCCTATTTCTTGGATGCATTTTACAGTACATTATTCCATGGTGATGCTGCTCTATTGTTTCTTGTGCTGTGACACTGTAATCTGTGATATAACTGTTCTCTTATTTAAAAAAAAATGCAATTTGCAACCTAAATTGGTCACTCTAAATTAGTATCAGCAAAGGCTAGCCACTGGCAAGTCCTCAATGGGCCTATAGCACCAAAACCTTTTCAACTAGGGTAAGGACGAGTCCATCCAAAACTCAGTTTCTTTTATCTTTTGAAAGATTACCTTGCTGAGAAATCTGTGATCAAGTGATTTTTATTCATTTTATATTTTAGAGAAAATAACAAGACGAGCTAGACCAGGCAAAGATGGGGGAGCACCCAAAACTCCCAAATGGACAGGGACAGAGTTGGGAATTATGGCAAGGAGATCTTGCTGTTTTAATATCCAAGACATGCAACAAGATTACTGCTCAAGCTTTAACACCTACTATAAGCCAAAGGATTTCAAAAAGGGAGCAGATTTTGTAGGAGATTTTTTTTTTTTAGCCAGAAAGCCATGTAAAACCTTGGGCTACTTACACTATTAATTTAATTGGAAAATGCTTTATAATGAGCTACAACATTTACAGAAATAAGTCATCAATAGTAATGATCACTTACCTTCAGAGGTACACCACCCTCTATCAGAGCAATTGTCACATAAGCAGAAAGTGAGATATCATCTTCCACTCCTCCCTGCAATAAAGATCATAGCTTCCATTTAATGTCTACTGTAAGAAAGGCTTATTTAAAAGGAAAATGTAGCAAAGTTAAGTTTCTTTTACTTTATGATGGCCATTGTCCCTGGAAGGACATTTGTCAAGGTTTTTTTTTTGGTAGCCTTTCTTGTTTCCTCCACACAGAAGAAGTAAACTTGATTGTTGTAACCAATTGTAATGGATGTGGTTAAGTATGATTATGACAAAATGCCTATCTCAATAGATCAATTGTAATATATATGTTATTGCTCCTGTTCATATTAATCCTTAATCAAAATGGCTGCCTAGTTAGTTGCTCAACTTAGCACCCATCCCTCCCCCTCCTATCCGAAGTACGCACTAGAAATAGGAGCCAAGATGGCGCCTCCTCTTCAGGACAACACCCAAGACAAAGATATAAATATACTGGCAGGAAGTTATATATGAATGGATCTAACCAATTATAAGCTAGAATGTTTTTTGCAATGCTGCTTTCTGCAATGCTACGTTTAAATATACACGTCCAGCTGCCTACATAAAACCATGTAAAAGCGGAAGAATAAAACAGAAGTATCTTATACACTGAACAACTTGTCTCAGCGTTCCTTTCTTCTCTGAGTGTACACTCTATTGAATTTGGTCCAGGGACAGATATATGTCGGATTCTTGATGTCCGAGTCCTTAACACAATCAGATTTCTTACTTCATTTTACCAGAGAATAAAAGATTTGATTGGTCACTGTGGACAAGACCTACACGTTTTGTAAAAAAAAAAAAAAAAGTTTTTTCGTAAAGAGAACTTCTAGGCAAAAATGTTTTAAAGCTGTTAATAAAGAAAGCGGATCTTTGGAAACAGTTGATAAAGAGAGATTACCTCCTTTTACATATAGAGGTTAACAGAGTGGAAAGTGTTCTACAATTCTACAAAAATGGATAGATTTTGTATGAGTAGCCTAAAGGGGGGTTTTATTGGAGCATTGTATCTTCTCCAGGACTGGGCTGAACTGGTTTAAAACATTGTTATGGCTACTCAGTGAAAGGCAATATGACCTTATTTGCCCCTTTCTGGTACACACAGAGTTAATGTTTGAACAGGAGAAAATTGTGTTTCAACAGAAACTAGTTTTAGTTCTTTACAAAATGAGGAGTCTGCATTCTTCAGTAAATTAAATCTCATCTTTGTGTGAAACCTAAGACCTTAAAACTGTCCAGCTAATTTCTTTCTTTGTAGCTGTTCTATTGTCCATATTATTATAATTAGTTTTGTACACATGTATGTCTTTCTATTGGTTTATGCCAATCGCCCCTTTCACTGTCCGCATAATCTTTTGTTTTAACAATAAATCTTTGAATATAGAGTAACTACACAACTTGGTGTGACTCTTTATTCCCAAGTACTTGTCTGAAGCTGACAGCACAATCAAATCCCGGGAAACCCTAAAGAGAAAGTCCTACCAGGAGACTGATGGTTCAAGTCCGCTCAGTGTAACTTTCCTGAGGAACCCTGATACTCAGAGGTCGACACTCAATTCTACAAAAATGGATAGATTTTGTACAAGTAGCCTAAAGGGGGATTTTATGGAGTATTGTATCTAAATCTTTAGACCTTTATCTTATACTTGGTGCTTCTCAGTAATACATGTAGAGGTTTTTTATGAACAAATCACAAATCAATTCTCCCTTTGAAGTTCTGTGAGCATTCGTTTTGTGTGAATGGAGGCAGAGACAAACGTTCTTAGTATATTTTCTTTTCAGGTCAATGTAACATTAGGAAAATATCACATTATGGCCACTAGCTGGAGCAAAAGAGCACAGGAAAGTTGTATTTTTGGTGCTTCTCAGGCCCATTTAGTGGCTATAAAGCAGATTTTCATAATTTTACATTCCACTGAAAAGAAATACTAAGAATGTTCATTTTTGTCTCTATTTGCACATAATGAACATTCACAGGGCAAATGGATCTGCGTATTGTTTATAAATAGACCCCTTAGAGTCCCCTTTCTTTATAATTGGTGTTGTTCTATCTATGGGATAATAGCATTTGAGAACTTCAATTAACATTTAAGGTGCAGCAACTCTATTCCTATATTTTATATCATAAAGAGAGTTATTACTATATAACAGTACTAGGTAGTCTTTTACAAATTTCTTGAACTTATGTTACAAACCCAAAAATCAAATGCTGTACATTATAAATTAAGGGCAAGGAGGGTTGTTATTACATGTGTTAATAACATTGGCAGGGTTATTCACAAAAGGGTGAAGAGTTTGGAGAAGCAGGAGAAGTGAACAATCTAGGCCAAAATAGCTGATTTGGAACAATTCTCCAAATCATCACATTTTCCAGTTCAGCTCTGTTGTCCTAGATTGTGCGCTTCTCCTGCCTTCTCCAAACTCTTCACCCTTTTGTGAATAACCCTGTAGATCACTATGATTATATATGAATTAACTAGAAAGGCATTCAGATCACCTTCATAGCATTATTGAATAGTGTTCCCACGCTACGGAAGCAGCCAGTCTTATTACGATTCGTCTTCAGCCAGGTGAAGGATTCATTTAGGTGACTTTCATCTATAAATATATAAGGCCGAGCTTGGCTGAAGGACTTCACTACAAATGCTGTCAACCTGTAAAATAATACAATCAGTATATCTAGGAGAATTGTCTATAATAATAATAATAAACTAAGCTGACAATATTAATTGTGCTTTCAAACAGACACTTACAGGGCTATTCACAAAAGGGTGAAGAGTTTGGAGAAGACAGGAGAAGTGAACGACCTATTCTCCTCCAATTCAGCTCACTTTCCAGTTCAGCTATGATGTCCTAGATTGTTCCCTTCTCCTGCCTTCTCCAAACTTCACCCTTTTGTGAATAACCTTGTAAATGTGATCAACTACTGTTTAGGAGAATGATATAGCCCATAGTGAACAAACAGCTTCTCCATGTTCAACCTCCAGTGGAGAGAACTTTTACCACGGAGATACTCTGCTGGAACCAAAGTAAAATAACATTATGGAAGGACAGCTATGTAGCCCAGCTATCAGCTAGGATAAATTCAGCATGAATGATATATCATTAGGCAAACTTTTTTAACAAAAAGAAAAATAGGCATGCGTCAGACCTATAAGAGAACATATATAATATTAATTATGAAGTGTTTTTTTCTTGTTTATTGATAGTGTCCCTGTGAATAGTTTGTCAACAGAATAAAAACAAAACAACTATGGAGTATATTTATAAACTATTTGCAGGGCCCTTAACCCAGCAAATATCTGAACGATCGTTGTGCAGATATATGCCAAAACAAATGTTCTTTATTTGTTTCTTCACAAGGCAATGTATTTTCAAATGTTATTTCCCCCATGTAAAGTTGCATTATGGTCTTAGTATCACGTACCTGAGGAAAAGACCGGAAGACGAGGAGGCGTCTCTTGCAACTCGCGTCCTACAACCCCTGGAGTTTGGAACAGAAGGCAGCAGGACAGTGAGGAGCACGAGTGCCACGGATTGGAAGCAGACACCATGCTAGAGACGTTTTGAAGTTAGGTCAGCAGGCCAAGGAGCAAACTGGGCGGGCAGCGCAGGAGCAGACTTGGGAGAATGAAACCGTAGTCAAGAAAATCAAAGGGCAGAGCCAGCCGGGCAGCGAAGTATAAAAGCAGAAGGAAAGAGCATGCCCAGACAACAGGCTGAGGTCAGGGGCAGGTAGCAAGCAGAAGGGTAGTTCAAGGCAATCCGGGTCAAACAAAGCATAGGCAATCCAACAGAGACACAGGCACCAGGGAACATAAGCTGACAAGACCATCAGCAATGTGGTGAAGACAGGCTCATTCTTATATAGTCACTAAATGAGGTAACAACATCACTTCATGTGCGACAGCTGTTTGCGCGTCTGGTTTGCTCGTTCATGCACACTAGAGCATGTTTCCCTAGATTGTGTCTTTGCGCATGTGCGGCTGCCATTTTTTCCTTACAGATGGTGGTGAGGAGCACGAAAAATAATTATTTCCTATGCTCCTCTTTCTCCATCTAGTGTCCATAAAGTGATATTACATGAAAACATTTGAAAATTCATTGCACTTGTTAAGAAAAACACAAAAGGTTTGTTTCGGCATATATTCACACATGCAAACATTGAATGTTCACAGATATTCACAAGGCGAAAAGCCCTGCAAATTGTTTATAAATAGACCCCTTTGTGTTCTCTCAGATTTACAGTATTTACTGGAAAACATTGATCTAGGCCATTGCGTTTACCATGTGTTACCCTGGCGGTCAATCCCTGGAAAGCTACTGTATGATCCATCATCACGTTTGTGGAGCAACTGTCGCTGATATCCTAAACAAAAAGCAAAAGCATATTGTATACTTTACATTCATTATTATGTGATCTGTAACACCAGCAATAAAAAAAACAATCGTGACCGTTGAGAAGGATAGGCCTAGAGAATCCCAAATTTCCTTGCACCATAAAAGACACAAACAACAATTTACATAGTTACATAGTTAGTCAGGTTGAAAATAGACAGATGTCGATCGAGTTCAACCTATAGAGATATGAAAAAAAAAAAGCCTAAACAGAACGCTATGCCCACAATTACCCACTGTTGATCCAGAGGAAGGCAAAAAACCCCTATAAAGCACGGTTCAATTTGCTCCAACAGGGGGAAAAAATTCCTTCCTGATCCCATGAGGCAATCGGATATTCCCTGGATCAACAATCTCTGATGCTTAATATATCCAGTAATATTCTGTGCATTTAGGAATACATCCAGATTTTTTTTTTTTAAACCATTAACTGAGCTAGCTAGAGCTAGCTCCTGGGGGAGTCTTTTCCACATTTTCACAGCTCTAACTGTGAAGAATCCTTTCCCTATGCAAATGTTAAACCTCTTTTCCTCCAGACGCAAAGATTGCCCCTGTGTCCTTTGCAGTGACCTTAAAGCTCACTATATGGACCATTTATGTATTTATACATGGTGATCATGTCCCCCCTTAATCGCCTCTTCTCCAGAGAGAACACATTCAGGTCAGATAATCTTTCCTCATAGCTGAGTTCCTCCATGCCTATTATCAGTTTAGTTGCCCTTCGCTGCACTTTCTCCAGTTCCACAACATCCTTTTTGTGAACTGGTGCCCAAAACTGAACTGCATATTCCAGATGAGGTCTTACTAATGCTTTGCACAGGGGCCGGATGATGTCTCTATCTCTGGAGTCTATACCCCCTCTTAATACAAGAAAGTATTTTGCTTGCTTTAGAAACTGCGGCTTGACATTGCATGCTATTATTCAGTCTATGGTCTACCAGAACACCCAGATGTTTCTCTATCATTGACTCCCCCAAACATAATCCCCCTAGAGTGTATGATGCATGCATGATTTTAGCCCCAAGTGCAGAACTTTACATTTATCAACATTAAACCTCATTTGCCAAATAGATGCCCAATCACACAGTGCATTCAGATCTGCTTGTAAGTTGGAGACATCCTGTAAGGACTGTATTCAACTACATAACTTGGTGTCATCTGCAAACACAGAAATAGTACTTTTTTTTTTTTTCAACATGAGTTTTTATTAGAAATTTTTCAGAAATATAAAAGTAGTAAAAACCTGGTCATAATAGTAAGTTAACAAACGGAAGGGCATAAGCAGAGCCCTGAAAGTACAGTAACAGTAGTTATGTGGGGTAACATTCGTTTGGGCACACATGGACAAGGTAATAGTCGTATGTGAACAGCTGCTGTATTCCACCAGGAAGGAAAATATGACAAACATTAGGGTTGCAGGTCATACCTAGAGCAGACCATTATTATCGGATCAGAAGGAGAAGAGAAGAAAGAAAAGGTTATAAAAAGAGGGAAGAAGGTAAAGGAAGAGAAAGGGTGGAAGGAAAAGAGGCAGGGAGGAAGAAGATGGTGTGAGAGGAGGTTCCGGTTCAGAGACATGTTGTTCACAGTAGGATATGCCGAGATAAGGTCCATAGAGGTGGAGTAGTTTCAAGCTCTTATCAGGTCCGGACCAAACTGTGGTGGAAGGCATACCTGGATCCAAGGATCCCCGATTTTTTCAAATTTATGCATCTTGTTCTGCCTTTTAGCTGTTAATTTTTCATTCACAAACACAGTGTGCAATCGAGCTTTTGTTTCTGAGAACAGTAAATTAGGGGATAGCCAAGCTTTAGCTATTGTTTGTTTAGCTGCAGTGAGGATGTGTGTCAGAAGGATAATTGCGAGTTGGTGAAGTTATCAGGTCTCAAATTAAGGAGAGCTATAGCCGGTTGAAAGGGCAGGTTAGTACGGATGAGTGTGCGCATAAAGGCAAATGTTTTTTCCCAAAATCTTTGTGCTATCGGGCATGTCCACCAAATGTGGAGCATAGTGCCATGAGTGTCACAGTGTGTAATGATCCGTGCAAACTCTGCGGGAGGGATAGGATCACAACTGCGGAGGTAAGCGTAAATGGTTCAGTTGAAGGGTTCACTGTCACACTTTAGTGTAGTGAGTGAAGTCGGAACCCCTTACACATCATATACCATTTGGTTGTAGGAGGAATTAAATGGCAGCGGTGAATTCCCACAACCCTCAATTCTACAGCATTGGGGCCTGTTGGGAATTGTAGTTCTCTCCCCAAGTTTACTTCACTAGGGAGGTCAAAGAGACAGTAACTCTATTGCATTTATGACAGTCCAGAGAAGAGGGTAAGGCAGTTTTTTAGATAAGAGAGTTTAGTTGAATTCACTACCCCTAACCTTGATGTCAGTAGGTGCAAACAACTCGGCAATTGATTACAGCATGTGGTAATGGCTACTTGCTGTTAGGTGGAAAGTCCATTCACAGGATGGGAGGCTGCATCCAGGCTGCCAGAAATCCAAGGGGTAGATGTGTAGGTCCAAGAGGGGTTAGCAGGATAGCCAGAGACCGGTGCAGTTTAGGTTCCTAAGTAGCTTGCTCGACGTACTACTTTGCTAGAACGTCGAGCAAGTGAAAGCCTACGGTTTAAATAGGCAGAGCAGGTGATTGGGGGGGCGGAGCCGGAGACGAGACCCGACCCGAGCGTCTCCTAGCAACGGGACGCCGCTGGGCCGGGCTCGCCGCGTCATCACGCCGACTCAGCTGTTCGGCAGAAGGAGGAGTGGAGCGCGGAGGAACGCCCGCCCGTCGCCCGGCAACAGGACGCTGTTGACGGGGCCGTCCCTGCCATGTTCTTGGGCTACGGAGCGGGGTCCGATCCTGACACAGTGACAATAGCAATGGGGAGATGATGAGGGGAAGATGCGGGCGAGTCGATAGGGAACATAGTACCAGCGCATTAAAACTTTATAATTGGTTTCCACTGCCGTTGCGCATTGAGAGGAGGTCCTAGTCGTTTGCCATATTTGTTCCCATTGTTCGGTATCTATGTTGATATGGAGACCAGAGCCATGTTGCCATTGTGTCATGTATGTGTGGGTAGGAAGAGTGGAGGGATGAAGTAGAGACGAGTAGAGTGAGGATATTACTCCCTTTGCATGAGGAGAGTCTAAACAAATGCGTTCGAAGGAGGTTAGTGGGGAGCGGACTGATCTTGAGCCAATCATTGAGGATAAGAAATGTCGAATTTGTATATATCTGAAAGCATCTGCAGTGGTGAAGTCATGTCGGGGTACATAAGGTTGCAAAGGGTATGATGCCATTGGAATCAAGAAGAGAATGGATGCGAGTGGTGTTGTTGGCGGACCAGTGAGAGAAAGAGGCTGGATTGTCTATGCCTGGGGGCAAGGCCGCGTTATAAAGAAAGGAGAGGAGGGGAAGGTGGGGGGAGATTAGGTTGCCAGAGTTCTTTACTGAGTCCCATACCTTCAGTTAGTGGCGGGTGATCGGGTTGTTGATGTGGAGGCGATTCTTCGGGATAGACCAGAGCAAGTTGTGCACTCCGAGCGGGTCACAGTCTACAGCCTCTAAAGAGATCCATAATGGCACTTCAGTTGAGGTGTGGTATTTTGTTAGAGGGGCAATTTGTGCCGCTCTGTAATAATGAGCTATGATAGGAACACCCAGACCACCCAAAGCTCTTGAAAGAAGCATTGAGCGTTTAGAAATAAGAGGGCTACGACCCGCCCAAACGAAGTGCATCACCTGCCTCTGTAGTATACGCATGGTATGAGAGGGTATAGGACCAGTAGGACTCTGAAAAAGTACAGTAGTTTTGGGAGGAGGGTCATCTTAATAGCCGTTATACGTCCCATTAGGGAAAGAGGGAAATGGGACCAGGTAGAAAGAAGGGACCGCAAGTGTTGAAACAACGGAGGGTAGTTAGCTGAGTACAGTGACGTATAGGTAGAAGTCAGGTGGACACCTAGGTATGGTGAAGCGGAAGTGGCCCACGGAAAAGAAAATGACGATTTGAGTTGATGGACGGTTGAGGTCGGGAGTGAAATGTTGAGAGCTTTGGACTTGGAAACATTCACGGAGAGACCTGATATGTCGCCAAACGAAGAAAGGGTTGTAAATAGGTTAGGAAGTGAGACAAGTGGTTGTGATAAGGAGATGAGGATGTCATCAGCAAACAAATTCAACTTGTCGTGATGGCCAGCTATGGGGATACCAGATATGTCAGGATGTTCACGGATCAACTGCGCAAGGGGCTCAATGGCCAATGCGAAAAGCAGCAGGGACAGAGGACATCCCCGTCTAGTTCCTCTACCTATGGGAAAGGGGGCGGACTTAAACCCAGCATAGTGTACTTTGGCCGAAGGGTAGGAGTAAAGGGCTCCTATCAGTTTTCGGAAACATAGGTCCAAATCCCCACCTTTCCAACACGTAGATGAGATAAGACCAGGAAAGGGAATCGAAAGCTTCTTTAATATCTAAGGAGAGGAACATAGAGGGGATGTTTCGTGTTTGTGCTAGGTGAGAGAGGAGGGATGCTCTGCGGATGCTGTCCGTGGCCTGACGGAGTGGCATAAAACCAATGTGATCCTTATGTATGAGTTGGCCAATCCCTAAGTTGAGTCTGTTGACCAAGATTTTAGCTAGGATTTTGATGTCTAAATTAAGGAGGGATATGGGACGAAAGTTGGTCCAGGAAGTATTGTCAGCGCTGGGTTTGGGGATCATGCAAATTGAAGCAGTTAGCGTGTCTCTGCCTAAGATGCCTTGGGCTCGTAGGGCATTAAAGGAGGAAACCAGGATAGGGGCCAGAATGTCAGATAACTTTTTATAGTATATAGCTGGAAACCCGTCAGGGCCTGCTCGTTTATTTGTTTTGAGGGACTTTATAGGAAGGAGAACTTCTGATTCCGAGACTGGGTCTTTCAGCAGTTGTTTTGATTTCCGCAATATGGCGTCAGTTTTATAGGATAGCAGCAAATTCAAATCTCTGCACGCATCTTCAACTCGGCGACGATTGGTGAGTGAAGGGGAGAGAGAGAAATCTGCTGAAGCCTGGAGAAAGGTTGCTTCTAGGGTTTTTTGTTTGTGTAATCGTTTGCGTTTAATTTTGGATGAGAGTCTTATACATTCCCCCCTGATTACTGCTTTGTGGGCTTCCCAGAGTGTTACTGGTGATACATCTGGCGTAGAATTGTGAGTTAAATACTCTATGATAGCTGCATGGATGGAGGTAATGTGTAATTCATCCGACAACATGTATTCGTTAAGAGACCAAGAAGGTGAGGTAGGAGAGGTTAGTATAGAGAAGAGGGATATAGTCACCGCAGAGTGGTCCGACCAAGAAATGGGAAGTATAGAGGCAGATCTAATCAGAGGGATTGAAGATTGTGTGAGAAAGATATGGTCTATTCTGGAAAAGGAATTGTGTGGGGAGGAGTAGAAAGTCTAGTCTCGTGTAGTAGGATGCAATTCCCTCCAAGTATCTATCAGGGCGCATTGAGCTAGGAGCTTATTGAAGGGTGAAGGGGATTCAGAGTTGTTGGAAATAGTAGAGGATTTATCGAGCATGGGGGAGAGAGACATATTCGAGTCACTGCATAGGAGGAGTAGGCCCTTTTGATGATGGGCTGTAGTGGAAGGTGATGAAAGAAGGGAAGAGGATTAGAGTTAGGGGCATAATATGACACAATGGTAACATCTTGGTCATTGAAACGACCGATGAGAATGAGATAACGTCCGGCAGGGTCAGCAATTTCTTGGTGAAAGCCTATCAAGACTCCTCTTGTTTTTTAAGTAGAGGAGGCCGTATATATGTGTGGAAAGTTTTTGTGGTAGCATTTGGGAATAGAGGAGTGTGAGAAGTGGGTTTCTTGCAGACATATAATATCTGCGTGTCTGGAGTTCTTTTATGGGGGGAGTTAAGGCCCTTAACATTCAGGGTGATCAATTTAATGGATGACATCATGGAAAGTGAAGATAATGCTCAGCATAAATTTGAGACGTAATAGCTGTGGAATGAATGGGCAGTGGAGTGTAGTCTCGTGAACTGGAGGGGATAGACAGGAAGAGGGGGAGAGGATGAGAAAGAGACTGGAGAAAGAAAGATGAAAGCATAGTGTAATGCAGTAAAACAGTAACAAATCCGGTATAATCAAAACAGTAACAACAGAAGACTGTCTGAAATAGCGAGAGACAGGTTAGCTGTGTCTCTCTATCAGGCAGTGGTAAGACCCGCAAGGGGGCAAATCCCACCGATGTAGGTCTAAGAGGAGGCAACAGTGACCGTCGCCTCAGCACACAGGCATTAAATAATATTAAGTATAACAATTGAAAAACAGCCCCAATAAGCTAGGAGCATATATACTGTAAAAGGAAGACATCACAACAGTAACACAGATATCAAAATTCACTCTAGGCTGCAACGAATAATACTTATCGAACTGTAGATGAGATCCATTAATCGTGGAGGTTAAGTGAGAGCGTCAGCGACTTCTCAAACAAGGTAGTCCCTATGTCGAAGTGTAGCGTAGGTCATCAGCCTGGGGAATCCATGTCAGTGGGTGGAGGTAGAGACATCTTTTTACGGACAGCTTTCAATGGCGAAGACATCAGGGCTGATGACGGTTCTGATCTGGAGGTTTGTCTGCGTCGTTTGGTTTGAACAGATGACTGGGACTCAGTTGGCGGCAGCAGTTGTAGGTCGGCTAGGATGCGGCGAAGTTCCTCAAAGGTCGATTCATGGTACAGGCGGCCATTGTGTGAGAAGAGAAGACGAAACGGAAAGCCCCAGCGGTAGGTGATCTGATGTTGTTGTAGAATCTGGAGAAGAGGTTTAAGCTCTCTGCATTTGGTGATCGTTGAAGGGGCTAAATCAGCAAATATCCGGTATGAATTGCCTTGAAAAGTCAGCGTTTGTTGGTTGCATGCTGCCTGAAGGATCGCTTCTTTAGTGCGGAAGTATAAAAATTTCGCCACCACATGAACTCTTTCCATTTCAAGGCGTTCAAGCGGGATAGATGGGGTTAGTTCCTGCAGCAGTGTAGTGATGGTCGATTGTAGATCCATAATATGCTCTGGGATGCCTCTGAATCTTAAGTTTGAGCGCCGTGAACGATTCTCTAGATCCTCTATTTTAGAAGACATGAATTGATTATCGTCACGGAGTTTATCTAATTCATTGACCTGAGTGCTGATGGTGTGCTCAGTATGGTCCATGCGAATCTCTAGATCAGCTGTTCGTTGGCCTAATTCACGAATTTCGTGGGAAAGCTGGCTAGTGATTTGTTTTGTTGTGGATGCTAATGCTTTCTGTAGCATCCGATCCATCTTGTTTAAGGGCTCTTGTTGAGAGGACTCACGTGTGGGAGAGAGTGAGCTGGTGTCGCTGTCATCTGCAGCATCATTGTGTCTTATGGGTGATGAGGCAGCAGGTCCTGTCAGGGCTTGTGAGGACGGCACCATCTTGGAAGCTGCTGTCGCCAGGGCCTCTTTGATCGAGGGGCCGTGAGTAGGCTTCAGTTTAGAACCGGGTTGGGACATCGGGATCCCGATCAATAGCGTTTACCAGCGGTGATGTGAGTGTCTCTGTCTGCGAGGGGGGGCGCTTCAGATGCCTGTTAGTGCTGAGGCAATGCGGGTTCAGGGCACTTCTGACATCCGCCGCTGCGCGCATGCGCCTCTAGAAATGGTACTTTTAATCCCAAATTCTATGTCATTTATAAATAGATTAAACAGTAAGGGGCCCAACACTGAACCTTGGGGGACACCACTAACAACCTCAGACCATTCAGAGTATGAATCATTGATCACCACTCTCTAAATACGGTCTTTAAGCCAATTTTCTATCCAATTACGTTAAAAATAATCTAAATATGCATATAAGGGACGATATCGCGTCAAATAATGGGGAGGACGTGGAAACCTTATGGCTGGAGCTAGATATGACGGACACTAACCGTAAACTTCTCGTGGGTATTTGCTACAAACCTCCAAATATTGGGGAAGAGGGGGAAGTCAACCTTCACTCCCAGATATGAATAGCTTGGAGGGAGGGCAATGTAGTCGTGATGGGTGACTTCAATTACCCGGACATCAATTGGGCCAATGGAACCTCGGGTTCAGCGAAGGCGGGCCGATTTCTGAACATGTTGCGAGACAATTTCATGGACCAGATGGTGGAGGTTCCAACCAGAAAAAATGCCATCCTTGATCTAATTGTCACTAATAATGCAGAGTTAATCTAGGATATTGTAATTGGGGAGTCACTGGGTAATAGTGATCACAATGTGATTACTTTTAATATTGAATACAGAAAAGGGAAGTGGACTGGACGGACTAGAACCCTACATTTCAGAAGGACTAACTTTGATAAGCTGCGCAACCTAGTGGGGGAAATAAAATGGGAAAACTTATTTCACAACCTAAACACAGACCAGATGTGGGATTGTTTTAAAAACACACTACATACTGCTATTTCAAAGTGTATACCTTTAGGGAGCAAAAGCAAAAGATCAAAGACTAAACCTATATGGCTTAATAAAACTGTAAAACAACACGTCAAGGACAAGAGAGCGGCATTTATAAAATATAAGACGGGGACTGCATTGGCGGGACTGCATTGGCGGGACTGCATTGGCGTTCCTTGGCGTTCCTTAACTACAAAGAATGTAACAAAAAATGCAAACTAGTAACCAGGGCAGCTAAAATTAAGTGCGAAAAGCATATCGCCATAGATAGTAAAAAGAACCCCCAAAAATTCTACCAATATATTAACAGTAAAAAGGTGAGAAAGAGCAGATAGGCCCAATAAAGGAAGAAAGCGTGAAGCTAGTCACAAATGACAATGAGAGAGCCGAGGCGCTGAACTCTTTTTTCTCCTCAGTATACACTCAGGAGGGAAACGGGTTCGACATACATGATAAAACTCCCAGTTTAACTCAAAAAATACCCTAGTGGTTGACGGAAACCGGGATACAACAAAGACTTAAAATGCTCAGTGCAAATAAAGCTGTGGGTCCGGATAACCTACACCCCAAGGTACTTAAGGAACTAAGCCAGGTTATAACTAGACCATTATTCCTCATTTTTAAGGACTCCTTAATGACTGGTAGGGTCCCTAGTAATTGGCGGAGGGCTACGGTAGTACCAATACTCAAAAAGGGGGCAAGGTGCCAACCTGGGAACTATAGGCCGGTCAGTCTAACATCGGTAGTTTGTAAACTGCTAGAGGGAATAATTAAGGATTATCTGGTAGAATTTGTTCAAGAAAATGCAATAGTTGATGACAATCAGCATGGGTTCAGGAAAGACCGTTCCTGCCTAACTAACTTGCTAATTTTTAATGAGGGGGTAAGTAGAGATATGGATGGAGGGAAGCCGGTAGATGTGGTATATCTGGATTTCTCAAAGGCTTTTGATACGGTACCACACAAACGCTTGCTACACAAGCTGAGGGCTATGGGCATAGATGAGGTGGTGTGTACGTGGATAGAGAACTGGCTACGGGAACGTGTCCAGAGGGTATCTGTAAATGGCACCTTTTCAGACTGGGCTAGTGTAATGAGCGGTGTGCCTCAGGGTTCTGTGCTGGGTCCCATATTGTTCAACTTATTTATTAATGAAATCGGGGAGGGTGTTAACAGCGATATCTCCGTGTTTGCGGATTATACCAAAATTATAATTACTTTTGCACGATATTCTAATTTATTTGAGTTTCACCTGTAATTACAGATGGAATGCTCTATACCTACTGACCTTAACTTATACATTAGACGCATGTAGGGGAACTGTGTCAAACGCTTTTGCAAAGTCCAAGTATACTATATACACTGCCATTCCTGTCCAATTTATTACTCACTTCCTCATAAAAAGAAAGTAGGTTTGTTTGACAACTTCTGTCTTTTGTGAATCCGTGCTGACTATCGCTTATGATATTACTTTCAAGCAAAAACAATTGCATGTGATCCTTGATCAAACTTTCAAGTATCTTACCAACTATTGAAGTTAAACTTACAGGTCTGTAATTACTTGGTAAAAACTTTGATCCTTTTTTTAAATGTAGGCACCACATTGGCCTTGTGCCAATCCATCGGTACCAAGCCAGTCATTAGAGAGTCTCTAAAAATTAGATACAATGAATTTGAAAATATACACCTCAATTCTTTGAGGACACCTGGGTGTAAGCCACCTGGTCCAGGTGCTTTGTTCACCTTAATTTTGTCTAACTGTTACCATATCATATCAGCCATTGTGGTTCAGTAGAGGCTGTGGCACTGCTATCCCCATTATGGACTTAGGTATGGAGTTACATCCTGTTCCTTGATGTGCACAGAGCTGAAGAAGGTATTTAAAAGATTTGCCTTCTCTTTGTCCCCAGTTACCAACTCTGAGTTATCTTTTAAGGGACTTACATGCTCAGACCTGATTTTTATTACTGTTATTATATTTAGACTAGACGTGTGCGATTCGTTTAGTTCCGAATCGAAATTCGGACGAATTTTCGGAAATTCGTAGATTCGGATCATCCGAATCTCCGAAATTCGAATTTCCGAATCGAAAACGAAACCTCCGAAACCAAACTTTCGGATCCGAACTTTCGGATCGGAATTTCGGATTTTGACCCTTAATTTTGGATTCGTATCAATTATCAGCCGATTACGATTAGAAACAAAATCCGAAAAGAATCCGATCCGAATGCGAACGTGCGGTCGAACGAACGGAAATAAACGCACTTAACCATGTGACTACTTTCTAACCAATCACATGTATTTTTCAGCTGATGGGTGTTGGCTTTCATGCACGGTCATGTGACTGCTCTTTGTGGGTTTGAGAAGTGGAAAGAGAAAGACGTGTGTTTGTGATCTGTGGAGAAGCTTCGATTTATCTTAGCCATCCTCAGTTTATTTTCGTTTTTTCTCATATATATTAGTTATAGTGAGTGAGGGGATCACCTTTTGCTCATTATTTTCTGTTTTCTGATATTTTGAGATTTTCTGAGATTTTGATTTGGGTACTAGATCTGATCTTAAGTAGTTGAGATCTGATCTGTGTATTCTCTCTAGTGTGACTGACTGCCATAACTTTCAGCACCAGCATACTATTGAACTTGTGACCTCTTTGCTGCGCACATAGTAATAGTCACAAAGAATGTCTAATCCAACTAGCTCTGGTGGTGCTCGTCCTCAGCTGGCTGCCAGTACATCTGAGCTCAGGTCCCCTGCTGTGAAGTTGAGGAGGAAAGGCATTATCAGCTCAGCTGGCACAAGCATGGCACCTGTTAAAACCCAAAAGCGACGTGGAGGCAAGGGCTGCCGCCAGCTCTTTAATGATGCCCCCCCAAAAACCACCTGCACAGCCATAACCAGCAGTGGTGTTGCCACCGCCACCACATCTGCTGCTGTGAGCATAGTGCCCAATATGTTTTATGGCAGAGGTCAGGTGAAAGCTGTGCAAGGTGTACCTAGTGTGCACGCCTTCAAGCAGCCAAAAATGGAAATTTTGGCTATGCAGGAGGCAGTGGCACTATCTAAGGGTCATCAAGCTTGCAACACTACTGCTACTGCAAGTGCCACCACCAGCATTACTGCAATTGACACCACCAGCAGTAGTGCTACTGCAATTGCCACCACCAGCAGTACTGTGGTGGCTTGTTCAGTTAGCAGTGAGCCTGCAAGTCTGGGAATGAAGGGAAGTGAGGGAACAGCTGCCCAAAAACATAAATTCCCTAATTTTTATGGGTTTGAGGATGATGATGATGATTTGGAGGTAGGCTTGTTCCCGTCCCTTATCATCAATGAGGCAGATTTTGAAGTGTCTGCACCTTGTGCATCCCCTGACAGCCCACCAGACTTGGCACTGCTTCACTCCCCAGTTGTTTCCTCCCCTGGTACACCTGCTGAGTCTCCCACACCAGATGTGAGCCCTGACATCACGTCTGACTTGGACTCATTTGCTGCGGCCAAGGCCTCAGGGATGCGTTTGCCAGCCGCCCAACCTCAACCAGACATCGCCCCTCCTGTTCAATCAATGCCACCGTCTAGTAGAGTTGTTAGCTGCCGTTCTCAAATATGGCAGCATTTTGAGAAAATAGGTAATGGGCAGCTAGCAAAGTGCAATCACTGTGGCAGGCAGTTGAGCCGGGGCAAAATGGTCGGCCACTTTACCAACAGTGGCATGAACCAACACATGCGCCTACACCATCAGGCAGTGCTACTACGGGATGAAAGTGGTGTCGCTCCTCCCTCAAGCACCACCCGTGTAGCAACTCTGGCCGCCCCCACCACCACAACGCAGTCTAGAGCCGCAGCCAAGCAACATCCAGTCCCTTCCAAGCAACCGACGCTGGATCAATTTGGCGGCTTTCAGGGCAGGGGGATTTCCCGGCAGCAGTCGCGGCTACTCACCCGCCTGATAGGCCAGATGATCGCTGTTGGAGGGGCTCCATTTAATATTGTGGAGTGTGAGGGCTTCAGGCAGCTCATGCAGGCTGTAGCACCGCAGTACCACGTCCCATCCCGCACCACCTTTAGCAAATCCGTGGTGCCATCTTTATATAGGGCGTGCGTTGCTATGGTAAAGGAGGAGCTCATAAGGTCTGCTGGCCAGTCTGTCCACTTCACCACAGACATCTGGAGTGCTCCCAGTGGTCAGCACGCCTTCCTCGCCCTCACAGCTCATTGGTGGCAGCCTAAGGTGGCCCAAGATACAGCTGCACCTGCTGAATCAACATCAGCAGCAGGTGGCAAAGAGGGGCACCGCTCATTCCTTTTGCATGCTGAG